GCTTAAAACATACCTTTTCAATCAGCTCAATGCAGGCAGCCAAGTCCATACCAAAGTCAATGAACTCCCAGATGATACCCTCCTTCTTGTACTCCTCTTGCTCCAGGACAAACATGGTGTGGTTGAAGAACTGCTGCAACTTCTCATTAGTGAAGTTGATGCACAGCTGCTCCAGGGTGTTGAACTACAAAGGGACAAATCATTGATTTTAGGAACAAAAGCAAATTGTTTTGAAAGTAACCGTATGCTGATAATAGGGAACGAGACTCACATCAAAAATTTCAAACCCAGCAATATCCAAGACACCAATGTAGTAATTCCGTTGCTGCTTAGTGTCCAACATCTGGTTGATACGAACGACCATCCACAAGAACATCCTTTCATAGATGGATTTAGCCAGGGCAGTGACAGAGTTGCTCACCTAAAGGACAAGAGCAGGACTAAATGAATAGCTCCAGCAAATTTCTTAACTGTTGAATCTCTTAACTTTTTCTGGACTTTTTAGATATAAAAATGTGTATGTAATACAGCATTCCAAATCTGCCAAATTTTGTATGAAATAGCTTCATTTTATAGAAAAGTCTATGTTACCTGAGGTACAGTCTGTCCCTTGGTGACATACTCATTCCCGACTTTCACTCTGGGATAGCACAGAGCCTTCAGCATGTCAGCAGAGTTCAGACCCAACAAGTAGGCAACCTTGTCAGCCTCTAAAACCAGTCATAGTCAGTGCATGATGAAATAAGCAGTGATTGTCCTTCATTTCCATAGATTTAACTTATGACTACTAACCTTCTGTGCCATCAGGCTCAGCCTGCTCCTCACGCTGCTTCTGCTTGAACTTCATGTTACCATGGTGAAGAACAGCACCAGTCATTTTGTAGATGCTCATCTTCTCCTCCGCAGTGAAGCCCAGGATATCAATGGCATTCTTTTCAACAGAAGAGTAATTTTTGTTTTAATTTTTTTAGATATTACTCTGCACAAATGCTATTTTAACCTCCTGAGACCCTGTGTCCTCATAAGAGGACGTTGCATTTTTGTCTCTCTTTACCATGATACTTCTTTTTTTCTTTCAGCTTTGACCTCTTGACCTCATAGCAGATGCTATCAGACACTGTTTGAAATCTAAAGTAAAATGGTTTTATACATTTCCATCCAATCATGTTCTTGTTTTGTAATAGAAAAACTGTAAATGAGTCAATGGGACTGTCAGAACAAAATTGTAAAAACATTTAATTAAATATGTATCTCATATATCTTTAAAAAAAAAAGCTAAAATGCATGCCAAATAAAAGCTCGGGTCTCAGGAGGTTAAGATAATAATAAACTGCCAATACATAAATTATAGTCTAATGGTGATCACTTACATCAGTGGCCTCAAGCTCAACTTTGTCATCAATACTGGCCACAGTGATCTGACCCATGCTGCACATGGGGAAGTCATAGGGGTTGGTTGTGATGAGTGACATTTCTAGAAATCAAAGAGTGCAATGGTCAACTTTATGTTTTCTTGGAAAAACTTAGATTTTGTTTGACAAAGTTAAATCCCAGGTTTAATTACCAATCAGCTCGGGTTTGTGGTTTGTCATCATCTGGTAGAAGATGTGGTAGCCTCTCTCATCAGGAAGCTGGAATGTCACTCTTGACTTTTCCAGTAGATCTATGAATTTGGTCTATGAATATCATGTATCTCCACATTCAGACGGCATTATTTGTTCTGAAATATGAAAATTACTCACATGTCTCAATATCAGCACTAGCCAGTTTGCCAGTAGTGCCGAAATGGATTCTGATGAATTTACCCTGTTTTGCACATGGAGTTGGTTAAAAATCCATCCAGATGGTTAAAGCGTCACAACATTTAGAAACAATTCCATACTTACAAAACGGGAGGAGTTGTCATTCCTCACAGTTTTGGCATTACCATAGGCCTCCAGCAGAGGATTAGCTGCAATAATCTGATCCTCCAGTGAACCCTATAATACAGGTTTAGAAATTCCATGAAAAAAGAGTGTAACCAAACCCTATTCTGTATTTGAGAAACGTTAAAGAAAACACACCTGAAATTTGCTAGGTTCCTTCTTCTTGTCTCCTCCACCAACTGAGATAGTTGCAAAGTACTGGATGACACGCTTTGTGTTCACAGTCTTTCCAGCACCAGATTCTCCACTGGGCATAAAACATCACTTTTAGAATCTGATCAGAATTTTCAAATGATGAAAATCAAGTTTTTTAAAAGGTAATACTCACGTGATCAGAACAGACTGGTTCTCCCTATCTGTAAGAGTGAGACATTGATATATTCACTTTGCATGTCATCCAACATCACCAAATTCTCCATCAACAAATTATTCAGTGTTCAGGACATACCAGTCAGCATGAACTGATAAGCGTTGTCAGAGACAGAGAAGATGTGGGGTGGAGCCTCCATGCGCTTCTTGCCTCTGTAGGCATTGACAACTTCAGAATCGTACACTGGAAGCCACTTGTAGGGGTTCACAGTTGCACAGAACAACCCAGAGTAGGTCTAAAAGACATTATAGACATTTTAAGATGAAGCTCTTTGAGATTTAAGTGTAGTTACTTTGTGCTGCTGTTTCCTCGTTAGTGAGTTTGTCTTACGTAGATCATCCATGCTGCATAACGCTCTTTGAGATTGTACAGCACAGAGGCTTCATTGAGATGGGTCATCATGGCCATGTCCTCAATTTTGTCATACTTAGGAGGGTTCATTGGACAGACATCTGCCTCTTTAACAACCTTCTCCTGTAAAATTACATTTTTAACAGTGAGAAGTGATCACAATAGACTGTGTGGATGACTTTGACTGTAGTGTACCAACCTCGCTTGTGTCCAACACTTTGACTGTGACTTTGTCCCCTTCTTTCTTAATGATAGTTCCCTTCAGGTACAGCTCTTTGACATCCGTCACATAGCAAGCGCTTTTGGCATCAAAGGGTTTGCTTTGAGCCTCAATTCTCTCCCTCTCAGGCTTGCGAAGGTATATGGCAGCCTTGCCATAAACGGCCATCTCCGCGTCCGTACTCATGGTGGCGGCTTATGTCTGCATTAAGTAAGACAATAGATGTTTAAAAAGGTTCTCACAAAGGTTTACAGTTATTCTGTTGGCAAGAAATAAGTGATTGGCTCTTCACTTGTACATTTAACACATATTCCACAGTGTCTTTTCAAAATTAGCATTCAGTTTTGGTATTAGGAATTGGTGACAACCTCATAAAAACCTCATTAATTTAACCTATATTTATTTTATAATTGAATTCTTTTACATACCTTAGCTTTTCCTTGTTCAAAAAAAGAATGTTTGTCCTCCACAACCCTGTCACAAAGAAATTTTATTCAGCTGAGTAAACAAAACTTAATTATTAAACCTGTGACTGTCTTTCATGCGTTTTTTTTAGTATGTAGAAAAAAGGTAGCTTTAAATTATGGCATATCATTTTTACATCTATTAACTTGTAAAACAGGAAATACATGCATATAATATAAGTCCTAATAGTAGTGAACCTCACCACAAGCAGGATCTTCACTAGTCTTCCACCACACTCTGATGCTTCCCCTCTACCCCTTTTATATCATCCACATTGCTTACAAGGCAGAGATTGGAGCATGCTTTCAGGCCAAATAAGGTTTCAATGAAAGTTGATTTATGAGACTAAATTTAGAAAAATTCACGCGTAACCTAAATTGCTTATAAATTCTCTTTTAAATTCTTTTGGTAGATACAGGGTTTCATATTTCAGGAGGCAAATAAAATGATTGGATCAACTGTGATGCTATGGTGTCTCCAACATAACAAGATTAAAATAAATTCCATGAGTGTTCCTTTACTACATCGACTTATCTTCCATTACAGCTGACATCATTAATTAATCAGTTGAGTTTACTGAAAGATTTAAATAACAGTAACAGCCAATGTGAGGCAGAAGAAAACCATTTCCCATTGTAATCTTTTCAATACATTGTGGTCAAATAGCCTATAGCTGACATGTTGAAGTACCATAAAAGTAAGTTTGGCTGCCTCCTGGCTTTATTTAATCTTTGAAAATGTTTTATTCATATTTTGATTTGATTCATTTCTTGAGCCATTTAGTAATGCTCTACATTTCTAAGACACATGTCTGGGATAAAATAGAAACTGCACATAGTTGGCAGTTGGTATAAAGGTCCTTACATGTACTGAAGTAGTCACTGAGGGCAAATCATTTTTATGGCTTGCTCTTAGGGAATAGCAAAGCTTACTCCATTTTCATGTGTATGAAGACACTCGTGATATGGGATCATGCTATGACTTATAAGATTAAATTAAAATCTGAATTCCTCATTTCATCTCATACATTCATCTATTCTTCATATGACAAGTTCCATAGAAAATGAAGAAACCCTGACACAAGCCAAAACATTTTGACCTTGTCACTGATCATTACAAAGTTTACTATCCAGAATCTGAAATGAATGTGCATACAAATGTTCAGCTTGATGTAAAAAGTATTTAATGACACCAGAATACTGTATAAACTGATTTTTCTATCTTCAGTTCTTTTCCATGTCAAAAGTTGTGCAGTCAGTTAAGTTTCCACTTAACTTGTTTATTTCCGTTGGGAACATGTGTGTGTGTGCACTATTTGGAGGCTTATCATGATATTTAATTCTTAAGTTACTTATCATGTCATCTAAAAAGTTGTAAAGGTCACTTTATGATGTCTTCCAGAAGACTTGTGCTTTCTATGGATGCAGCTTTGCAACCCAAAGTCTTGATGCCATATTCATTTTGAATAGAAGAAGCTTTCTTCTGCCAAATAACTAAGTCCAAGTTTTCAGTATCTATCTAACTGTCTTGTAATGACTTTTAACCTTTAATATGTTAACTGACACCTGTAGAGTTTGAGACGTTGTTGTTGTGTTTGTTGGGGTTTCTCTGAGCATTGCACAGTACGACCTTGGGGGATCCTTCTGGGATGGACAGCTGTCCTGGATATTTCCCACTTGTGAGTAACCTTTCTCTCTGTAGAATGATCCTATAAAAGAAGTCTGTCTTCACACTGCTAATGGACCCCAGCTCAGTGTCTGTTTGATATGGTGTAATATGTCATATGCTTTTGCTCACATGGGACTGCATTGACCTAATTTTAAAATATGGTTGTGGAGGCCTTGAATGTTTTGTTATGGGGTCAGATCATATGGTCTCTGTCTATCTCTCTCTCTCTCTCTCTCTCTCTCTCTCTCTCTTTATATATATATATATATATATATATATATATATACAGCATATGTATATATATGTATACATATCTTATGAATATATGTATATATTTTTCCCCTCTACCCTGTCTTTCATTGATTTGGTGTACACAGTAAGATGGTGTGCCCCAGATTTGAATTTAGATGCAGATCAGTAAAGTAACTAAATTTCCGAGCCTTGACAACAACGAAAAATCCCAGTTTCCTCAGCAGTAATGAAGGAACGTGAATGAGATGGATGGTCTTCCATGGCACTGGTCTGCTTCTGTTGAACAGGAACCATCATGTCGGGATGGCATCCTGGCATAACACTCTTCCATTGCTCCTTTACAATAATGTGATAAACAGCCTCTCGAAATGAGGTAAATGTGTCCTCTCCCGGTCCCTGCACCAGTGGCACGAGAGCGGCTGCCTCGGAAAACGAAACCAAAACTAACGTCTCTTCCCAAGGTTTCGTTTGAAACAATGACGGCTGGCAGCAGTGAGGTGCAATCTGCCGCAGTAGTTGCTGGTAAGTTCTTATTTAATGCCTTTTCTTTCTTTAAACAAATAAAAATCGAAGAGGCGGCTTCGCGCAGCTTATAAACGGGTTGAATGAGCGTCTGACAGTGACGCAGCAGTCTTTGCTCGTTACCTTAGACGCCCTCGGCTCAGGTTATTTCAGGACACGGTCACAGACTGGAGGGTGACACAAACAGTCCGAAGACACTCTGGTCAGGACGACACTATTAACCTGCATTAAAAACTAAAATTCTGCTGGTCTCTGTGAAAACGAAAGTATGAAAACAAGTAAACAGCAAGAAAAGGCTGCTCGAATGGATTTTCCAATAACCTAAAACTCTTAGGAATTTAGGCATATTTACCAACAGCCGAAATGGCTTCAATCGTAAAATTCTGAAGCTGAACATGAATAAAAGTTGCAAGGAGGTTGCTCTGAATGGCTTCTCTGCTGGTCTGTCATCACTGGCCACTGCAATGGAAGCTCTTCATATGGTGCTATATAGTTAACTGGATTCTCAGTGGTTTATTATATGTGACAAGAGTTAAACCCCTTATACATTTTCACTGTTTTTCAAGCCCAGATGAATTTGTATTTTTGTATTTCTCTGTGATAGCCGATGGAGTCTGACCATGGATGAGGAGGTTGACCCTGATCACGGAAATGTAAACTCTGTCTTGGCTCAAGAATCTTCAGAACTGTACGACATCCTCCTGAGTCAGTCCCCCTCAGTCATAATGTTACTTTACAAAATGATTCCCAGTGAAACTGGCTGTGAAGGCCAGAAAGCCTCCACCAGTTCTACACCAGCATCAGCCGAAGGCCGGATCAAAGCCATGTTGGAGTACTACAAAACGGCCAGAGCTGCAGACTGTTGCAGCTTCCTTCAAAGTGTTTGTCTTATGTGTGAAAACCTCCCCATGCATCTGGAGTCCAGGCTCTTGTCAGTGGCTGGATATGCTTGCAGTGAGTATAAAACCAAAGTAGAAATGTTGAAATGTAATGCAGATCTTTTAATTCAGTGCACAAGTCTTATGGTTTAGCAAGAAGATAAAATACCCTGCAGAAAAAAAATAGTTGAAATAACCCAGCAACTACTCTTTATCTTTTTTTAGCTCATGTCGAGCCGCACGTGGCCCCAGAGTCTGTGACAAACACAGGTAGCTCCGATTTTCTGACTATTTGTTCATCTGCACAAATTTAAAAATAGAAAATGCTTTTTAAAGTATGTAAAGATGTATGTAAAAATGTGTTTGTAAAGTCTGAAAAAGATACAAGGGAATTGGCCCAAATTCCCAAAAGAACAATTAATGAAACAGTTTTGAATATCTTCAATTTATGAACGATTTGCAAGTTCCTGATTGGGTGAGCTGTCCAAATGCTTTAATATTTAATGTTCTGCTGGCTTTATGTTTCTTCATTAATCTCAATCTGAGCTCATCTCTATATTGTTGTTATTTGTGTGAAATATTCACCATACTGGTGAATTCAGCCGTAGTTCAGTCAACCATCAATCCTCTATAAAATTATTTTTATGAGCTGGACCTTAATCTGTATGTAGTTTTGAAGTAAATGCCTCACAGTGGGTGGAACCACTCTGACAAACAAGTGAAAGTAAAACTCAGCTCTCATCACCCGGTTGGCATACAATCAAAATTTTGTTTTTTTTCTGGAAATCCCCTGAATATTTTTTGGTTTCTTTTTGTCTGCTTTTTATAAAATGTTTTACGTTTATCATATTAAGTTGTGATATTTCTGTTTTGACATTTTCCCGTATAATGCCTGTGTTTCTCATGTGCTTCTGTAGAAGGGTGTGATGACGCTTCTCTCTGTGAGGAAGGTTTGAAGTCATCAAGCTCGCCCTCAGAGGAACAGCTCAGCAAACGCCCACGGATTGGTAGGACTTGGATAGGGCTTATCCAAAAGACTTGGTAGACTTGTTTGCTGGCACAAACCAGGCAGACAAATCACTGGAACTTCTTTAGAGAAAAGGCCAAAGGAAAGACCAAGAGCACTTAGAGAGCCATAAGTCATCTGCAGTAGACACTGTCAAGCGTTTTCTTGTGTTTATGTCGCATTACATCCACCTTTACACATATAGCCTCAGTGTTCATGGAAATTTGGGTTTAACCACTTTGGCAGTTAAGAAGGTGTCCCTGATGCCTGGAAATAAAACAATTACTATTCTCATAAAGGATTACGAAACATTGTTTGATGCCAACATCAACATACGACCCACAATTCACATTCTTGGCGGTGAAATAGGGGTTAACCAGGCATCTCATCTATGCCTAATTCACTTAGTGCTACATAACCATGGCTAGCTTGGCTATTATGTGTAGATGTGTATGATTCCAAACCAGCCGACTTGCATAGCTCAGGACTGGCTGGCGTTTTACTGCCAGCAGCATAATCATTTGTCTGTGTGGCTCATATGGGGACATGCGCCCTATTAATAGTGTGTTTTTCCAACTTTTTGCATGCACAGATCACTGGGAGCAATACACGAGGGAGGCGATGAGTTTATTGCTGAAAAGGTGGAGAAGACTGACAGAGCAGCTGGTGAAGGAGGTTCTGCCGGAGAAAGTGTGGGTCAACATGAGAGCTGCGAGCAGAGGGAGGGACAGACCAGATCAGACCCCGAGCTCTGCTGACAGAGGGAGCAGAACCCCAGGTCATTGTTCTTCCTTTTTACTGTTCAAAAGGAATTTGCCAAGTTAATGCAAACCTGATCATTAGGTCTTTTCTTGAATTAAAATTGATTAAATGCTTGATATGGATTCGATGTAAAAAAAATTCCCATTTTTAGGCTGACATTAACTATAATCTGTTGTTTACTATCAGAAAATCTTTGTCATCACTCTCAGAGCCTGATGGTGATTACGGCTATTTGGAGTCCAGACTGACTTTGGAGGCCTTCCTCCAGGGATGTGCAGGGAAAGTGACAGTTCTGGTCGGAGAGGCGGGATCAGGAAAAACACTGCTAACGTCTTGTTTAGGACAACAGTGGGCAAATGGGCTAGTAAGTTTATTCGACTTCACAAGAAATACGAAATAGTACATTTTGTTTAGGTTTTACAATTTAAGATAAGCTCATGATGTACTTATTGCTCAAAACCCAAGACACCAACGTTACAAGATGAAACAAAAACGAAAGTACAATTAGATGTTTCCATTCCAAAAGTGGTTTTATAATTTATCTTTTTCAGGATTGACATCAGAAGCCTGTTTTTAAAACAGTGTATTAAATATCAGGAGGAACACAACAAATTATTTATTCTTTGCGGTAAATTACAAGCAAGTAATTAGATTATTTGTACACTTCTTTAGATTTTAATTAGCTTTCCAATCAAATTACAAAGCAGGTTTTGAACTTTTACATTCTTGTCCACATAACTGGTGCTCTCAGTATCTGTAATGGGATTTCTTGTACATCCCTGTGCCAGGGTCCTATCCCTTCTTCATGCCTGTTTGTCCTGCTGGAGTTTCGTCAGCTCAGCTTGCTGTCTGGTCCACTCTCCCTGGCTGAGTTGCTGTTTAAGCTCTACCTCCCTCCAAACGGGGGCAAATATGCAAAGGTCGGAACATTTACTCAAATATCTGTCCACAAAACCGTCTAATCTAAGATGTTAAATGTGACAGTAAAAGCTTCAGAACAACGTTGCACTCCTCAATACTGACATTAACGGTCTGAGTTTGATCTAAAGGTCTTGTATGGCCTGCGTTCGTTTAGCGATTAGGAGCTAAACTCTCTGAGGCAAAGAGGAGCAGAAGTCTATGCTGATTTTGGGGGGAATAACAGCAGTCAGACAGTCACATCTCCAACCTGCTCTGTTTTTGTACAGCAAGCTATCGTGGACTACCTGCTATCCAATCCAGAGCAGAGCTGTTGGGTGCTGGACGGCTATGACGAGTTTCACAGGAAGCTCTCCAGACAAGAAATGCAGAGTGAACAGCTGGACTTCGAAAAACCTCTGCCAGTGGCAGACCTCATCTCAGGGTTGCTGAGTCGTCAGCTTCTTCCAGGAAGTACCATACTGGTCACGTGCCGCGGGCGGGACGTTATAGATTTGGACAGCTTCTCAGACAAAGTGGGCTACCTGCTGAGCTGGGGCGCCTCTGAGATCAAGGAGTATGTCCACAGCTTCTTTGGAGAAAAAGGTGAGCTCAGCTTTACGGTGAGATTTTCTCACTGTGGAGGTTGACTCTGACTTGGTCAGCGGATCTTCCTGTGTCCCTGTTTGTCTGCGCAGACGCTCAGCTAGGAGGGCAGGCAGCAGATCTCCTTCTCTCCCATCGATACCTCCTGGGCATGTCCTCCACCCCTGCCCTCTGCAACATCTGCTGCATCTGCCTGCAGGATTTACTGTGGGAAAAGAGAAGGGCTGGACGCATGCAGGTCCCAGCGGAAACGGGAGTCAAGGGGGGTAAAAAAAGCAAAGGACGAGGGGAGAGTCATCCACCGACAGGAGAGGAAATTAGAGAAGCAGAGGGAAGCGGAGGCACGCAGAGTGATGGTACAAATGGCACGGCAAAGTTCTCTTCCCCTTCAGCCCAAGTCCCCTCCACCCACACACAGGTCTACCTCTCGGTTGTGGCTGCATTCCTCAACCGTTACCCTGATCAGGACGAAAGAGATGAGAGGCCAAAAGCCTCAGCATTTCTTCAGAGGTAAAGAGCACCCAGCACCACTGTGTATCTTTTAGACGTATTAAAAAAAAGCTGCTGCTCAGAGTTGTTCGACTCATCAGCACATAACTTGTCTGTCTTTGTGAGCAGAGCTGTGACCACTCTGAGTCGGTATCGCTCCGAGCTGTTTGAGCTCAGTCAGCTGGCACTGAGTGGCCTTGAAGACCACAAAATCCTCTTTGTTGAAGATGACGTTCCAAAACATGTTTTCCAGTTGTTAGTCCAGACTGGGCTGTTTTCACAGGTCAGCCACACACCTGTTTGTGGTCTGTGTCATTCTGGGCTCAGTTCATACTTTTTGGGGTGTTTTTTAATGTTTTTCATTGATACATTCTAAGGATCATTCAGCGACCAGGTCGATACATTCGATTTTAAAGTTGGAAAAGCAGACAAAAAGCAGACAAAAAGCAGACAAAAAGTGCCAACTAGGGAAATCTAAAGGCGATTTTCATTCATTGAAACGTGTAATGTAAAATGTACAGACAGATACCACAAAATGTATAGAAAAGGAAAATGATGGAGGCTTCCTGTTGTGTGGTTTTTCTGTGCAGAGTATTTTGATGGAATCAATATAGGTGGGGGGGTGGGTGAGGGTCAACACCCCCCTGCTTCCTGCTGAGGGAGGGTTATAAAATGATCATGCTTTCGTTTTGCTTCAAAGCAGCTCAGTACGTCCGATGAACAACTTGTGTGATCCTGCTTGTTGCTCTCGCCCCATGAAGTCTTCCTTTTTAATAAATGTGTCTTTCCCCCTCCCTCAGATTGACTCTTGGCTAGATTGAAAAATTCCACAACAGTAATTTAATAAAAAAAATAACTTTGCACAGTTAAATAACAAAACGGTTAAATGTCGTTTGTAGTCGGGCGTGTCGACGCTGAAAACAGCCGGTAGGAAATAACGCGGCTCCATCCTGTTAGAAATATATGCCTGTCAGTTGATGTGATGTAGTATGAAGGGTTTAGTTCTTCAAATGAAGGAAACATTCAAACAGCTGCACATTCATTTTCAAGTTCTAGTTTTTTCAAGCAAAAACTAGAGCTCAGCGAATGGCTTGTCACAAGGTTTGCTAAACAGAAACTGTTATTTTTAGTCATGTTAATGATGTTAGTCATGTTAAATGTGTCAGATACTCACAGTGTTTAGGTTTTTACTAACATCTGCTGAGCGCCTGTTGGGCCTTTTGTCGGGGCTTTGACATAACTTGCTCCTCCTCTTCCTGTCAGGTGGAGCTCAGACGTCATGATGGGCTGCTTGTCGATGCCTACTGCTTCATTCATCTGACCCTGCAGGAGTTTCTGGCAGCGATAAGAATCATGACTAGTAATGACGTTAGTGATGCACAGCTCAAGAAGAGGTAAAGAGGCCGATTAAAAAAAGGGAAATGGGACTTATGAAGAACCGTTTCCAGGCTTATTGAACTTTATCGTGTTGGATTTGTTAGGGTCAAACTTTGCATCAAAGTTTGGCTTTTTGCTTCACTCCTAATTACACAGTCTTTGAGGTTATGAGTTAACATGTTTTAATTTATGATTTAATTTATTTATTTAGTTTATTTAATTTATTTTATTTAATTTAATTTAATTTATTTGATTAATTTAATTTATTTAATTTATTTAATTTATTTAATTTATTTATTTATTTAATTTGATTTATTTATTTAATTTATTTATTTTATTATTAATTAATTTATCAGAGTAGTGAAGAGATGTTTATTTTTACTTACAGCATGTAATCCACCTTGTTACAATGCCATAAATACCAACGCCTGTCCTTATACTGCCATCTCTGAGTGAAACTTTATCTTTTCACACCTCCTGCCCCCTTTTGCTTAGTACAGTCTGTGCTTGCCCCAAAAATACCCAACATACAGTTCAGTCTATTTGGGTTGGCACCAATTTGACAAACCGTGAGAAGTGCAATTAGATGACTGTCTTATCAGAAAATCTCACCAGGACCAAGAAAGAATCACCATTAATGATTAACCAATCTTATAGCTTTATCTCAAAACAGATTTTTAAATGTCATTACAAAATGGCCGCAGGTGTCAAAGGGTGCAAAAGCATTTGACCTTATTAAGTCCGTCTGTACGGCCGGAGACATGCAGCTGTGAGCTGTAACAGGATCAGTGTAAGTGGAGCAGGCAAACATGTTTCTGAGCTCCCTAAAAAGGAAATTCTGAAAAACACTGATGTTGGCAAAAAGTGGAGCATCCAATCACAGTTGGGCTGGCTCGGGTGTCCGGTGAGCATGGGGACACATAAAATGAGACATGGCATGCGGGATACTTTTAGTTGGACCCACCACTCCTAGAGACTCCGTAGATCTGTATCTTAGGCTGTTCTACCAACCTGCCTTATTCCCATAAGTTAAGATTGCTGATCCCAGCAAGACCTGGGTTGTAGTAACAGTTCAAAACTCAGCCTTACTTTCAGTTTAAAGGCGTTCACTGTCGGCTGCATGGGGGTGTGATGGTTAGCACAGTGCATGTTAGGTTCATTAAAGACTCAAAATCGTCTGTAGGAGCGACTGTGAGTGTGTGTCTGTGTGTCATTTCTGTGTGGTCCTGTGATGGATGTGGTGGAGAAATCTCACACCCCATGACAGCTGGGATGGACGCCACCAACCCCCCCACAGCCCTCCTAGAATTAAGCAGAGTAGCAAATGGTGGTGGGTGTTTACTGGAGACAGTTGCTGTGCTCTCGGAAATGCCAGCTGTGCCCTTTCCATCAGCTTCACAGCCATCTACCAGGCCAGGGGGTCCACCACATGCACCTTCAGACGTGCACAGAGATTCACACACACTCAAAGGTCGTTTCTGAAATCCCAGACGGTTCTTTTTTTCTGCTGACTGGCACAGTCATGATGCCGTGTTTTTACACTTCAAGGTGAAGATCCATGAGCTGCTTGGTCTGTTTCTGTGGATGTTGTTTATGGATGTAATTCATGATAATATTTGTATTTGTCACTTTATCGCAACGTATCTGTGAAGACTGACTCCTGGGAGGGTTCCCCTTTCCCGCCAATCCTGCTTTAACCCCTGTGTGGAACCAGTATTTATTGAGTATTTATGAATAGTAAACTGTCTGAAACCACAAAGAAAGCAGATATAAAAAGCCATATTTAATGATTTTAGATCAATAAAATGTTGAAATAAAACCCAATGTTTGGGATTTCGTTCTAAAAGCACCAGTGTGCTTATGGGCTGATAAAGTCAAACGTATGTTCATAAACTATGGAGGTAAATGTGATAATGGTACGGTGCCCCTTTTGTAAGACCATTAATGGAGTTTTCAGAAGCTAAGCACAGATTGATAAAACCCATTTAAGTTTAATTAAATCCAGTCTTTGTCTTTCCCACTTTCTTTCCCTCAGATTTAGTCTGAAAACTCGCTGGACCACCAAATCAGACCAGAAGACGGTGTTCACTGATTCCCTGTACCTGTATGTGTGTGGCCTGGCCTCCCCACAGTGCACTCAAGCTCTGGTTGAAATAGCAAAGGCCTCGGGTTTAAAAGCAGTCCAGAGCTGGGTCCAGAGACGACAAGATCTCGTTCAGAAATTGCTGAAAGCCCTTTGTCAGAGCACCACTCTGACTGGACCAAAGGTAGAAGCTAACGCCTGGTGTGTGACTCAGGGGTGTGTGTTTGCTCTGAACCCTCTGCGTTACCTCTTCCCAGGTCCTGCAGCTTTGCCACTGTGTCCAGGAAAGCCAGAACCAGCACCTGGCCAAGCAGGTTGTGAGTGTTCGACGCACGCTGGAACTGCGCAACTTCTGGCTGTCTCCCAGTGACATTGATGCTTTGGCATTTGTAGTTAACTCAGTAGGGGACAACGGCGTCGGTTTTGACTTTGGAGCTTGCTCAATGGAGCTGGAGTGTTTAGACACACTGTCCAAGTGTCAGTACATTCACCACCTCAGGTGGGTTCTCCAAGATATCTGACACATGCACAGGTGCACATCTATTGATATTTGAATCGGTAGATTAGTTGTTGTGTGCTCCACATTTACATTGCATCACTTGACTTTGCTTATGGCTCTTAAACACTGTGGCCAGAGGAATGGAGCAGCATGGGAGCAGCTTAAAGCTGTCACTGGAGCATGGTGTTAAGGTGTGAGGAATCTGAAAACCCACGTTTAGCCTTTAGATATTTGATGATAGCGCACAGAGAAAGTCCGGAAAGAGCTGCTGCTTTGCCTTTGACATTCCTCGGATGACTGGCTCAGATGACTCCATTCTGAAATTAACTGGCCACCTGTCAGAGTCCTGACTCCTAATAATTAAATTGTATTTGCCAGCTCAAAGTAGAATGTGCTCCTGGACATTGTGCACATTTCAATTTTGCTAATAGTAGCTCTATTCTAACTTAATCTTCACTTGTCAGACTAATAAACCCTGTCCTGAGCTCCTGTACATTTGAACAAAGATGCAGTTGTGTGCATGAAAAATGCTGATACAGGTTAGGAGCTGCAGTTATGTTAACAGGAAGCACAGGGGGAAAAACAGAATTACCCTCATTTGCATGGTGACGTCATTTTCTCTTCGGCTCTCAATAGTTTGAATATGATGAGGGAATGCAAAGTCATGTCAGAGTTATTGTCGGTAAGCGAAATGCTTTTCATCTCTAAGAGAGTAGGAGGTGCTAACAGAGACAAAAGCACGCTCCTATATATGCTTAAACCAGGTCAAACGCAAAAGTCACCCGATAGTTTCTGTCTTTTAGTGTGGGAGGAAGTTTGAGAACATGAAAGAAATCCAGACGAGAATTAAACAAATGTCCTTCATGTGGAAAAGCCCAAAGCTTTAAGCTCTTGTTGGCAGTTGGCAGCTCTAATGGCACAGAGCTCAGTAAACCCCAGCTGCTGCGTTTTGTCCCGGTCTGCTGGGCTTTATGTCGGCAAGTCTGAACATGCTGGAAATTAATAGAAGTGAATGCATCATCTGATCCAGCAGCTAATGGCATCACACTGACAGGAAGCCTTGAGCTATGTGTAGGGGCCGATCTAAACCAATCTAAACAGCCGGTTCATCGCTTTGCATTTAGTCACTATGTAAGCACTGCAGCATATTCCATGGATGTGCATGTTATTTTATTTTATTGTAGCTTTTTTTTAATGCAGGTAAAATCACAATTTGAAGTTGCCTTTAATCATGTTTTCTTTTGGGTGTTTTTTTTAAACACCTATTTTTCTGCATGTGGAATAATACTGTTACATCTCTTCATCGTTACAATGTGTTTGAAGCATTCTGTGTTTTTTTATTGTCTTTTTTTTTCAGTTTTCACAGCCGCAAGTATGGCGACAAATTTGCAGAGAAGCTGTCGTCTATTCTGCCTGAATTCAAAATCCTGAGGAAGCTTGAGTGAGTTTCAGATCGTGTGATTGAGCTTATGTTCCCCGATCGGCTCCACGACTCTGAGTGAACGGGTCGGCCTTTTCCCCTCAAGGTTTTGTGGTGCCAGTCTGACGGCCTCAGGGGCGGCGACTCTGGTGTCCGGTTTGCAGAACTCTCCCCACGTCACTGAAATCAAGTATTATTTCTGTTTTTGACTCATTGATACGACTGGCAGTTTAAACATGGCTGGACAGCTAATAAGGAAGCCTCAGCCTTTTGTAACTTATATATGATAAAAAGTGACACCCAGCTCATGTTTGTGTGTTTCAGTCTCAGTAACAACAATTTGCAAGATGAAGGAATCATGCACATTGCTGAGTTTTTCCCCAAACTTCAAAGCCTGGTCTCTGTAAGGTATGCTCACGCTTTTTTCCACTTTAAATTTCCAACAGTAAAGTTCGGCAGCTCAATTCTTCTGCTTTTCGTCACAGTTTTTGTGGACTTTGGTGTGTTTGTGCAGGCTGGGACGAAACAACACTTCCCTGAAAGCCATGAACTGCCTTGTGGAGACGATGTCTTCCTGTCTGAACATCCAACACATTCATGCAGAGTATGGGCACACATGCGCGCTCTCCTGTAGCTTCTGTGAAAAATGCTCAAGCAATCCAAAGCTCATTTAAAGCATAAACTACAGTCCAGCACAAACATTTGTGACGTGACACATCCTTTCTTTTTTTAACTTTGCAGTGGGATGAAAGACATAACAGTAACCTTCTCTCAAAAATCAGGCGTAAGCAGGTGGGTTTAATGGTTGGATACAGTAGATGAAAAAATCCAGTAAATTTAAGATTCTGACATTTTCCTGTTTCCCGTCTGCAGCCATAAAACAAACCCTGAGCCAGCAATAAGGTAATATAAGACACAATAGACTTCCTTTCCTGTTAGATAAATGGATTTATCTCCTTTTTGCTGATAAACGCATGTTAACTATATAAAATGTACCTGTTTTGGGAATCAGTTAATATGGACTAAAGCTTGTAGTAACACACAGACACACAGGGGCCTTTATGACTAAGGAAGTTAAACTGTGTTATATTTTTAGGATAATAACTGAATCTACTATATACTACAAAGTAAACAAGTCCAGGAGCTCGTATTGATATGAAATAATCAAAGTGTGTTTACGTGTGCTAAGATTTAAAACACTTTTTTCCATAATTCAGGAAGAAATCATGACAACCTTTGGTTGAAGTCATGAAATGAGCAGATTCTTAATGCAAAAGATTTACAGATCAACACAGAGACTTTGATTAGCTAGTGTCTAATCAGCTGATCACATAGCTGATGCGTGATCATAACTTGTTGCTTGTGTCTGCGGTTTAGCATGTACATTTCACTGATTCTGGTGTTGTTTTTCAGCTTGTTGAATCAGAAGTGGACTAAGCGTGAGATGAAAAGCCTCGCCCAGTCCGTGGCTAACTGTCCCGCCCTGTCTGAGCTGGAGTAAGTGACATTAGATACACCTCTTCACTTTTAGAGACTCAGATCAGAGTGGAGCTCTTCTGAATGATGAGGAGTGACTCAGAGACAAACTGTTGTCTTTAGTCCTCAGTTTGCTTTATTCCACATCTCATTAATGTAAGCAGGCCACTGATATTTGGCCTATTTCGTCTCACTTTGTGGCATGAATCTTGTGTTTGTGTGTGTTTGCTTTATCTGTGTGTGCTGCAGTCTGTCTGGAGGCCAGTGGGACGAGGATACTTTGAGGGTTCTGACTCAGTTTGTGCCAAAGTTCAGTGTCTCTGGAAAGATTGTGTAAGGTCGCAGCACTCAAACAAACACAGATACATGACAGTAAACAAATAAAGAGTTGTGTGATGAATTCAGAGTTTGCTCAGCTGTTTTTCTTCACTGTCGACTCTCAGTTTGAATGACAGCTGCTCATCGGTGGACTGTCTGGTGGTTCTGACTGCTCTGCTGGCCGACTGTCCCTCTGTCGTGGAGCTCATAGTCAGGTGTGAAGACGCCACAAATGCTGACCTGTAAGAGTCAAAGACCTGTTTAAGGACAATATCAACCAGTGCATGATCCTTTCAAAGAGTTATGTGAATGTACTCTTTCTTTGTGCGTGACAGTGATGCTCCTTTATGTTGCAGACTACAGAAACCTGTCCAGGTCTCTGTGGTGTTCCCCAGAGGGATCGGACAGCCTGCAGGAGAAATGTCCAAAAAGCTCTGGTGTGTATGAAGTTAAATCCACCCGATATTAACACGTTCACACCGAACATCTCATTAAGATTTACTGCAGAGTTAATTGAGTCTTGCTGTTTCTTTGTAAGTCTAAACTGCTGCAATCTGCTGCCCGCCGACTTCGACCGGCTTTGGAGAAGTTTGGGAACCTCCTCGGATCTCACTGTCCTGGAGTAAGATACACAAATAACTCAGTATACAACAGCACAAAGTACAACACAATAAAAAGCACACATTTACCAGGAAGTGTTGGCCTTCACTGTGTTGTGTTGTTAATGATCACACATGTGCACAAATCATGAGGGCTGCACAGTGGTGTGATGGTTAGCACATTTCCTCACAAAAAAGACAGTTCCTGGTTCAAACCCAGGCTTTTCCTATGTTATCTTCTTATCTTTTCTTATCTTATCTCTTATCTATGTTTGGTAGCTGCCAAATCTTTCCAAAGAGATATTTTTTATAGATATCTGAAAAGTTTTTATTTTATTTGTTTACTTTTACTCAGCTGTTTTACATGTGGCACAGCTCTCATGTTGTACGGTGAAACTCTTTATGTCTCTGTAAAGAAGTTGTCACTCTATGTTTGCAGCTTGTCTTTTAATCGTTTGGGTGACAAAGGACTAAGGAAGTTGTTGGAGGCTTCTACTTCTCTCAGAAAAATCCAGGAAATTAAGTAAGTTAAGAAGCTATAAGAAGTGTATTATAACTCTTGTAAATACTGCCACAGAAGTAGGAGGAACCAAGTGTGTGAATTCCCTCCCACTGCTGCTGTATTAAGTTGCAAACGTTTCCAAAAAGGGTTCTGCTTTGTGGATTTGGATATGCAAAGTCAGCTGGCAAAGCATCGCTGGTGTTATCTCACCGAACCGGTTCCAAAACAACATGCCCCTGTCAGAAATGCTGTTTGACCTAACAAAAGCCCCGGTGGGAAGGGCCTGTGCAGGTTAAACACTGTCCTCCTGGCTCTCTGTGCCTTTCAGTGTCAGCCACAATGACATCAGCATGGCTGGAGTGGTGATGCTGGCCGGTGCTTTCTGCTCCGACGGCCGCTTGACACAGATTCACATCAGGTAGGAGTTCTTGCGTCTGCGGCCATCAGAAAGCAGATCTTGCCCAATGCTCCAAAGACAAAGGCCCAAACGTGTGCGGTCTATTCATCTCTTGCTGTCCTGTCATTTAAGTAATGGAGGCAAGGACCAAGTGATTCTGCGGCTCACCCAAAAAAGGTTAAAAATCTACATCACAGTGCTTTTTCTTTTACATAAATGAGTTGTTTCTCTGTTTCAACGTGTTTGTTTTCTCCTTTTCAGTGATGGCAGAGAGCAAATGAAAACATTCAGGTACAGAAACCTGATGAATAGAGTGGCATTTCTTTGAAACTCTGGAGGAAACCTTAAGAATTCTGTCCTGTTTTCCTGTAGCTTGCTGAGCAGCAGCCTCCAGCCGGCGGACATAAGCAGAGTGTGCAGAAAGATGGCCCAGTGTGGCTCCCTTTGGGAGTTCCAGTAAGCTGATCAGTGGACACATCTACCTTTTCTGTCTTAATCTGAGCAGACATGCATGTAAGTGATTTCATATTAATATTGTTTCAGGTTGAGTTGCTGCTTGTTTTCCAACAAAGCCATTGAGAATCTGCTCCAAGTGTTGCCGAAGATGTCCTCGCTGCAGAGACTCTAGTAAGTCTGTCAGGATTGTTTTAAGCCATTAACATCATGCTGTTCCTTCTCTAGTCATTAGAATGATTATTAATGGGTTCAGGTTTTTAAAAGATCTGCTTTTTATCAGAATAACCCTTTTGTTTGCTGGAAAACAAGCTATTAGTGGTCATTTTATGTAATACAAGAAAGTCCAGAGATCCACCAACAAAAAGACAAATTTAGACCACGAAAGAAAAAAATCAACGAACAAATGATTAAATACCAAAAATAAATTCAATAACTTTCACCTCAATACAGATGAAAACGTTCAGATTTTCCTCCATACAGATTTTTATCTGGTTATTTCGGGACATTATCTAAGTGATAAAACTAAGCCAGGCCTCAAGATGACTAAAGATTTGAATCCACAGCTGCCTGACTCGTGTGAAAAACCCTCTCCTGCTTTAATCCCCAGTGTTGGCGGCAGCATCACGTCCACCAGCGATGCGCTGGTTCTGATTGGCTGTTTGGTTGAAAATGAGAGAGTCACATCAGTGGAGCTCAGGTAACACAAACAAACCACCGTCTACAGAACACATTGCCGAAATTTTGCCTTTAATCTTTCTACAGGAATTCTTTTTCCCATCTGTGTTCGACTGTTTTGTTTGACAGCTGCTTTGAACTCTGCTTTAGCCCACAGAGTGACTCCTTTATCAGTTTTGATGGAGCGGCAGCACAACAAGTGAGCTGCAGGTCAGTTACAGCCACTTCTTTAACCTTTGACCTGCTGATGTGTGGAAAAAGGGTTTTCCTCCTTAAACTAGTTCGACTCCTTCATAAGCATATAAGTGTTTCTTTTGGCTGCAAACTAAATTGCAGACTGATAAACTTAGACAGTCATCGTTTTTTCCGTCTGTGCTCACAGGTTGACAGATTTCTGCTTTGAAAACACTGCTTTCATTAAGAGACTCCTGAACATCCTGCAGCTGGGACAACATCTGTCATATCTTGAGTATGAGAGCACGCAGAGAAAAAACACACTTATTCATAATGCCTGGTGCTTCATGAGCCTTCCTTTTGGATGCAGTTTGTCAGGTAACCAGCTGGAAGATGAAGGAGTGAAGGTTTTCGTGGATTTACTACCAAGGCTGAAAATCAGCCTCTATGTGAGGTGAGATTCTGGAGTAAAAGGACAAAACACACACTACGACCTGAAACTGAATTGTGCGAGGGCTTTTTCATTTTTCTTTCTGTACGCTCAGTCTCAGCAACAACAAAATGACCCAAGATGGCGTGTTGGACGTGGCCAGCACGCTGAGTACCTGCACCCGGGTTTCCCAGGTGGAGGTCAGGTGAGACGGTCAGCCAACGAGCAAACAGCACAGACCGAAGGCCAGTGGCTCACCAGTGCGTGATTTTCATGGATCTGCTTCTGTTTCATGGTAGTTTGGGGGAGGACAAAAAGTGTCTCATCTGGTTCAGACATAATGAGGATGGTGAAAAAAGTCTCAGGTAAGAATTGAAGTTTAAACTGTAGCCCCTCTCAAGCATGAATTATTATTTTTTAATTATCATTTCAGGATTTTTTGTGCTTTACATTTTCCTAAGGAGTAAAAAAAAAAAGTGTTTTTTCAAGGATTTTTCCAGATGTGCAGATTTATTCTTTATTCTGAAATACTGATTTTTACAGCGTGAACATATTCTGACATTTGTTAACAGAATGCAGTTATATGCAGATTTACATCATTATGTTAATGTCATTCACTAAAAAAGGATAAAAAGTGTAGTCATTCATGTCATGATGACCTATCAGGCCATTCAAGATCTAATACATTCTGATTATTCAAACATTCATCAACCACAGACAGGGATTTTTGAATAACAGGAACTCAGCAGCAGCAGCAATAGCGATGGCGAGCAGGAAGTGTGGAAATCCCTCTGAAAAGGGCCAAACCTTTGCAACAGAGCAGGTTTCATGAGGGGAATCTCAAAGTAAAGACAATTAAATCATGAATAGACAAACCAAAGTTCTCTGGACGGATTCAATCTCCCTTCAGCTTTCACTGAGATCAGAAGAAATTTGTAAAGAAATGTAAAGAAACGAGCTCCATCTGATGACAACACACCGCCTTTATCCGCCTTAGCTATCCGCTGGCAGGCATTAGCTCTCTGAAGTTTACAGGAAGTGATAAATCCTCTGATTATTCAAAGCAAATGACAGATTCGCCTACTCCTCAGGGTGTTTTCACACAGGTCTTTTCCGTGCCCAATAAACCTGCAAAAGCCTTTCAGAAGCTGTTGTTTTCTTAGTCCACACTTTCTGATTTTTGTCTTACAGCATCAGAGAAAGCAGTCTGGAGCCCGAACACCTGGACAGATTAGCCGAGCTGGTGTCCAGCTGTCCCAGTCTGACCAAACTGGAGTAAGGACGTCCACATTCAGTTCTCTTAGAGCTCCCATTTGAAAAGCCTGGCTGTAGTGTCAGCATTTTGAGCAGAAATGTGTCAGAATATGTAGCCGCAGTTTGCTTGGGCTGGATACGCTGTTGATAAACTGAGCTTTCAGAGGTCAGCTGATTCAGGATGTGGGCGTTCGGTGTTTTTCTTTGTGACTGGTCGACAGGTTGAGGAACAATCTGCTGCAGTGCGAGTGGATGGAGGACTTTGTCCGGGGTCTGAGCAGCTGCCAGAGGGGCTGCGCTCTGAGGTGGGCTTTGCTCCAGATTTGACTCCTTTTCAGAAAATGTTCCAACCTGTTTTCCGCCTCAGCCTCACTTTTAAACAAACTAGTGTCTAGCTGATGAAAAACTCAGCTGTGAATGAACACAACGAACTGTTCTCCAGTGTGGAGGAGAGTTGGATCAGCGGGGGGGAGGCTGTCCGTTTGTTGTGCCGCTGTCTGGAGCTGAGAAGCAACGTCCAGTCTGCCAGGTAAAAAAAAAACACACGGCCATGGACGCAGAGCAAACAGTCCGACTGCCTGCCCGGTGCCCCGAATCCTCCCAAACTGACTGTAATCTTCTGTAGGATTCACCACAGAGTGCTTCACCTGTCGCTGCGGGCGGCCACAGAGCTGAGCTCGGTCAGGTGAGCCAATCCCGGGCTCCTTAGTCACAGTTGCTGGATTTCTCGCTGTTTTTTTTACTGACCCGTCTGTCGGTCTGCCTGGGCTTAAAGCCATGAGATCCTCTCACACAGCTTGTGTCTCTTCCCTCTCCTCAGCCTGGTGGACTGTGACGTCGTGGGGCAGCAGCTCGCTTCCATCCGGCCAATCATCCAGAGCTCTCCTTCTCTGAGAAGTCTGGAGTCAGTATTTTTCTACTTCCTGCATAAACTCCACACGTTTGATGTGTATCAAATCGTATCAGTGACGTTGAAATGATGAGTAAAACTCGTGTTTTTTGTTCCCACTCCTGAAGTTTGTCCCACAGCAGACTGGATATAGAGGGAGCTGAGTTTCTGTGCTCCCTCCTGCCCTCCTTGCCAAACCTCACCTCTCTCAGGTGAACAAGTTCACATTTAGCTCTTTGAAAAGCACATTTTTAAAAACCCTCACATGGAAAACGAGTTGTTTTTGTCCTCTTTAGTATTGGAATCAAAGAGAGTACCATTTCTGTGGCAGAGGAGGTCTCCCTGGCCCTCATAGACTCTGCATCCCTTCTGTGCTTAAAGTAAGTTTTTCTTCATGTATTGTGTTTTTTCTGGTAGTTTTGTGTCTGATCATTTTCTTTTTCTTTATTAAGTGTATTTTTGTGGTATTTTCATATGTTTTCTGGTCAGGTTTTGCCTGTATTTTTCATTTCATATATCTTCGGGGTTGTTTTGTGTGTCTCTGTGATCTTCTGTTAGTTTTGTGTCAGTGTTTTACCATTTTCAGCAAATCGGGATTTCAAACCCACTCTCTGGGCTTCTCTGAGAAGTCAGAAATGCATCAAGCAGAACAATGACTCTATTTTACCCTCAGGAATGACAGGAAATAGATAGAATTTGAACCATTACTCAGATATGATGATTTTCTGTACTGTTTTTTTATGATTATATTTAAGAATGCATTGATCAAAATTCTATTTAAGTCTTAGAAATGTAATTTGGGCTAAAAAGGTTGTACGTATTGGAATATTAACCACTACAGAAGCATAGATCGTTATTCTGAGAACTACCAGTGCTGCTCATTTAGGGCTCAGATGCACAAACGCACACATCTTTTCATTCTTTGTCATCAGCGCAGCACGAGTGGTTCAGGGACCTGGGAAATCAGAGCTTTAACAGCAAATGGCGGATTATTCCAGCCTGTATTTGATGGATTTATCATTTGAGAGTTTGTTTTCCTGTCTTTCCCAGCCTGTCGGGTCATGTGATCAGTGACACGGCAGCTCAGAGGATGTCCACCTTCCTGCCCCGCCTGCGAGCGCTCGAGTAAGCAGCGTGTTCAGAGTGGTTTAGTTTAACAGCCATGCATCCTTTTTGTCCTAAATTGAATTGTAGAGCATGGAAATGTGCAGCATCTGAGCATTAACCCTCCTCTTTAGTCTGTCCCACTGTGTCTGGTCGGCCACTGGGGGGCTGCAGCTCACGGCTGCTCTCAGCCAGTGTGCCGCTCTGGAGGATCTTTGGTAAGTCGTGCACGTGTATGCCAAATTACGCACGTTTAGGATCTATGAAATAGTTTTTATGTTTCCTTATCTTCCCAAAGTCTGGACTCTGTGCAGCTGAATGAGGAAAGCAGAACGCATTTGGCTCAAGCTTTGAGGAACTCCAACTCCATACGCAATCTCAGGTAAGAAACAGAAACAAGAAAACCTGTTTTTCTTTCAGGGTTTTCCTTCATCATCACAAATGCGACTCCGTGTGAGCGGAAGTTCTTTTTATTAGGGTGTACATGCTGGCTAGTCTATTTAAAGGCTGCTATGGAGACCTAGCTGTGGTGCATAAAACCGATTTATTGAGCACCGTTTGAATTTGAGGTCTGGACAAGTGTGTAAAAACATCTGCTTCCAAACTGTTACGCCTATCTGACATTATTGATAGTTAAGTTTAGGGTTTAGGTCATTGATATCTTTTTAAATTGGGAAACAGATTATTTTTAATAGGTACAGGTTATTCTCTGGCAAATATTATAAACGTAAACATTATTATATAACATAGATGTTTACTATTTAATTTCAAATCCAGCTCATAAACAAGTTCAAAATGGTCTAAATTGAATGTTTAACCAGGACGTATTGAGAAAAGATGTGTAGGAACCCTGTAAAATAAAAAGATAAAATTAGGTCTTTTAATATTTTAAATTCTAGAATATTAAGTTTCCAAATTACTACTTAATGAGGGGCGATGGAAAAACCAGGAAAAATAATCCTGGTGTTTTTAGATTTCCATCTAAAAAACTAGAAACTTTTCTTTACTTCTGGTTCTGGCAGAAGGTCCTCTGGCCCTGTTAAAAGGTGTTTGATGTTTAGTTGTGGCTCTCTACTCCAAGTGGATGATTTATTCTCCTGGCTGTTCCTCCAGAATCCTCAGCTCCTGTACGGAGCCCCCGTCGCGCTCATGTTATCGCTCAGTTCTGAGAAAAGAGCCCTGATTTCTTCATCTGTTTCACATCCTCTGTGCAGCTCTGCACCCGCCCGTGTTTCCAGCTGTTACTTCCAAAAACATGGCGCTGGCAGAGGTGCTCCGTCTGCCACTCGGGCACTTTTCGCTCTAATAGATCCGCCGCCATTCGCGTAATTCAGGCTATTTTGGACGGAACGCACTTTCTCTCTTTTGCTGCCAAAGCTGCTTCCCGTGGCTCACATTGCTGCCTCTGTTACGGCCGCGCTTGTAATACCATCATGTCATCAGCCCCTTATAACTAGATACCAATTTAGTAGGGTCTAATTCCATAATCTAACCTCTCCTCCAGGGAGGGGGTTATTATTTTTCATTCCATCTTCCTCATGGTGCGAAAGTGTTACACGGCAAATGTTTATTCACTCAGTGCGTGTCAGATATACTTTCATATAAATCTTCATCATCTGATACCACCCCCCCCCACCCTCACAGTCTGATTTAACCGTCGTTTTCCTCCTGTGTGAAAGGCTGAATGAGCTGGCCAAAGCCAGCGGAGGGGCGTCTGAAGCCGACTCTGGGCTGGATCTGCTGACCGGGCTGCAAGGACTCTCTCACATTCAGGAGTTGGAGTGAGTACCGTTGGAGAAGAAGCTGGTCACTCTTCTAAAAAAGAAGCCGACCTGAGCTGTGTGGGATGTTTCTTCCCAGGATGGGCTCCTGGAGGATGGCGGACAGAGGGATGGAGCAGCTGGCTGGACTCCTCCCTGCATGGTCAGAGCTCAGGAGGATCAGGTAGCAGCCGCCCACCACCTGATTTCATTCACTCCAGTTAGACGTGCAGAGTAGTTGTTACGTAAACGTGGTGCACAGAGTCCATCTTTTCCTAATCATGCACTGAAAAAAACAGAGCAGTTCTTCTGGACCATTTAGCATATCTTCCTAAGTTGGACTGAACAAAGTTTGATTTTACTTTTATTCTATCAGAATAGATGATTAAAGAATCTACTTTCATGTCTGCTAATTTATTGATATAATTTATTTGGTATGTTTTTGTTTATTTGAAATTTTGGCCCGAACAGAAACGGCTTCCAAGTAAATGTTTTGATCTGTTGTTGTTCTCCACATGTCAGATGTGTCAGATGAGTAAATGAATGATGACGATTCCATTTTAAATGGGCAATATCTGGGTTATTTGTGAGGGGTCTCTGTGTTTATGAGCCAAATGAAACCCATTTATCACCGCTGTTTGCTTGTTTGTGCTGTCTTTGTCTGTTTTTGGGCTCCAGGCTGTCAAAGAACCTCATCAGTGACCCGTCGGGGGAGAAGCTGCTGGACGCTCTGAGGAGCTGCCTCCACCTGCAGGAGCTCCAGTGAGGACATTTTTCTCTGGGCTGCTGCTGTGCTGACTTCCGTTTTGCTCATTTTTGAGCTTCTGTTTAGCGGTCTCCTTTAGTTCTTCATCAGATTTGTTCTTTTCTTTTATTTTATTTTCTGCCTCATTAGCATCACTTTGAATGGCCATTGAACAACAGTTTTAATTCACTCTAACATTTCAAATGAACCCTCACACATCTTTTTCTGCATTTTGTTGTGTTTATGGTATAATTTTGCCTTTTATCTGCTCACTTATTAGCTCTTAATGGTAGCTTTGTATGTTTTTTATGGCACCTTTGAGTTTTTTTGTGTTACTGTTCATTTGTTGTGTTTTTTCTTGTAGTTTCTTGTGTAAGTTTCTTTTCCTGTTTGGTTTGTGGAGTAGTTGAACCCGGTGAATATTTCTGTTCCAGTCTGTCCAGTAACCTCCTCGGTGACCTCACTGCTGCCCGGATGGCCCTTGTTCTGCCTTCACTAGCACACCTCACTGTCTTAGAGTAAGAAGAAGAATTATTTATACCAGAAAGTCTTTTACTTTCTTTAGTTAATCCATACATTTAATTCATGATTGTTCACCTGGTAGTATTTCAGAAAACCGCATAGGAAGGGAGGGGGCAGTGAGTCTGTCCAAAGCCATCAGCAGCTTGAAGAACCTCAGCAGGATTCAGTAAGCCCTGTTTCCCGCCTGGTTGGAGGATGTGGTGTGTTATCGGATGCTCTGATTCTGCGGTCTGTGCCTCCAGGCTGACGTCTGTCGGGACTCCAGAGCTGAGCGCCGTGGCGGCCAGTCTGGCTCACTGCCCCCTCGTGCAGGAAGTGGGGTACGAGTAGCCTTTAAGACTTTAAAGGTTTTTAGATTCCGTTGGTTAGTTTGTCTAAGCTGGGACTCACCAGGTTCTTATCCATCTCAGAAGCCAGGTTTGACTATTTATGTGTGATTTGTTTATCTTATTATTTCCTAGCCTGGGATGGAACAACTGTGGAGATGATGTGGCGCTGGAGCTGGCCAGAGTTCTGCCCTCCTGCCTCCAGATGACCCGCATAGAGTGAGTTAAAGAAAAGCCAACTGTGGAGGATCGAGCAGTAAAGAAGAGTAGAGTAAAGACACAGACAGAATGGGCCTTAAACCAGGTCAAAGTAACTGGTAACGAACCAAAAACTAATGGAAACAGACTGAAATGGGGGATGATTGGAAGAGCAGATGACAGCCAAAATACCTACTCTCTCCCTCTTTTCAAAATAAAACTCAAAACTCACCTGTATAAAATTTCTTACCCACCTTACCACCCCTAACTCTAACATTACCCTAATTTTGCACAGTTTTATTCGTTCAATTTTTATTCATTTATGACGTTTTTATTTATGATGTATTTATGAATTTGCGTGTTTTCAATGTTATTTTAATGCCGATCATCTTTGTAAAGTGTCCTTGAGTGGGATGAAAGGCGCTTTTTAAAAATAAAATGTATTATTTCTTCTTATTATTATTATAAAGTCTTTTTTCTTTCCTGCTAGTCTGGAGTGCAACAGTGTGAGTGTTGTGGGGGTGGAGGCGCTGGCCAGAGCCCTGAGGTCCTGCCCCGCTCTGGAGAGCATCAGGTGAGGGAAGCCCCGCCCCCCCCCACCCCCCACCCCCCCCTTCATCTGCTGCTCTCTCCTCACTCAACCAGCTGCCCTCTGTGCTCTCAGGCTGTGGAAGAACAAGGTGTCAGCAGGCGATTCCCAGAAGCTGGTCCAGAAGGAGCGGAGGCTGAGTTTCCTGTCCACCTGACCTGCTCCGTTTTGGGGGGCCGGGGGGGGGGGAGCCTGCACCCGTCAGCGACTGCTGAGGTGACGCATGACGCACCCCAGAGGAGGTTTTATTCCTGGGTTTGAATGTAGGACATCCGATCCAAGCACAAGTTCACGGTTGAGCTTTTTTTATGGAACCAGCAGCGCCTCACTGGACTCCGGAGCCAGTTTTACTCACAGATGGAATCTGTGAGCCGAGCCGGGCGGTGTGGAGACCAATAGAGGAGCCCCTCCTCATTTGGTACCAATCTGCTCAAAAGAAGATGTGAAATCCGACGGGTGACATGGTCACACGGTGTGGGCCTCTCTCATAGCGGCCTCATTAACTCCTCCATCTGTCATTAAATAAGAAAAGCGTGTTCTTCCAAACAGAGCTCAGCAGCCCAGCGATCGTTTCACGGCAAAACGCTGACAGGCTCTGAGCGACTGGGTCATTTTGCACGCCGTGTGTTTACAAAGGAGGCCACAGAGCTGAAAACACAAGAAACCATCAACTCGCAGTTACACAGAAATCATTTAGGTTGTGGTCTCCATCAAAAGTGCTTATTTATTTCTGCTGTTTAGCTGGAAAAGAAGTCCATTTTGAATTATTTATCTGCCATTCGGAATTACTTGAAATGTGTTTTTTCTGTTTATCGTTACCGATTGTTTGTGATGTTTCTTTGATTTATTACTTTGCTGTCAGGGTGTTTCTTTTACCTTTTATTGCACCTTATCAGATTTCCTTTTTACATCAGAGTACTTTCCATTTGTTTTCTCCTATTTTGGATCTTTGAGTTGAACATTCAGGTAATCTGAACTGCACTGAAATGCCAATAAAAAAGAGAGTTATTAATTTTTTCTGAATTTAGTTTCTTTCTCTTTAATGTTGAGATTAACTTTGTGGTCCTCTGATTCATGAAGAAGAAGAAGCAGAAACTTAAAATATCCCATTTACTGCTCATGTTTATTTTAACAGCTGATACAAAATCCACTGAAAATTGTTCATTTGCACTAAATTGAGCATCTCACAGCTTCTGGATAACAGGAAGGTATCTTGTTTACTTCATGTGTCTCCTCCTGTCAGTCAAAAACAGCTGGATCAGCAGCTGGTCTGGATGGACCATTCCTATTCAAGTGTCTCCATCTGGTGGTGGGACTGCGTATTGCATTTGAGTGTTTACTGTTGCCAAAGGCAACTATTTCATTTTTTAATAATCAACATTTTAAAACACAGATATGTGCTGCTTGTCATATCAGTTAAATAATTTTCAAGTTAAAGCTGTGTGAACTCAGAACTAATCAAGATCATCTGATGCTAAATTTTACTTAATGTAAAACAACATTCTGCTTCTCTGCAAGCAAATGTGATACATTTGGCTTCTTGAATTAATAAAAGTGCATAAACATCAACTCTAAGGTGGTTCCTGCATAGAGTTTTTAGTTGATGTTTTTTTACAAACATCTGTTTGTTTCTTTAATTTAAAAATAGCAGCATTGTTTTGAAATTGGTTAGAATAACAAGATTTACCATTCATCTTTTAAAAAATGTCTTTTCTAAATTAGATAAAAGGCAACTTGGCCAGCTCATCCTGGCTAACAAGTAGTTTTATTTCTAAACTTTCTCAGAACTTTTTCAGAAGAGGAGCCTAATTTAAACATGAAGTCAGTGGTTGTAACACTGTATGCGGCCAAAAGGGGGCGCTGTATGATAGTAACTGAGAAACCAAAGAGCTACAGAATACAGAAAAATAGCCACAAAGAAAACACAGTGGAACAGAAAAAAAACATGAATCTACCAAAAAAAACAACTAAAAACTTACACAAGAAACATAAAACAGTCACAAAGAGACATAAAAAGAGAAAAATGTCCACGAACATCTGACAAAACTGCCCCAGATGCTCCTCCTGAGCAGGAAGCGGCCTGATGGGACCCTGGTCCATTTCTCTGGGCCTGGAGCTTCTGCTGGACCATCACGGGGGAGGAGGGGGGTGGCCCGCAGGTGGTATAGATGCTGTTAAACCTATTAAAAAGCAGCTAAATATTATTTCCACCAGGCTTTTAACTGGAAACGGGCTTAGTTTTATGTTTATCTGTCTGCCTGTGGTGTGCCACATGTTATATTTGAGATTTTCTCTCTTGTCTTCTGCATCATTGCAGGGATCTATCCCGGGGAAAACCCCAAGCTGCCCCCTCTTCAAAGCGTGGTTGAGGGACCCAAATCAGAAAACACCTACAAGCCTTCCTCACTTTGCTTTATACGTGTTTTGAGAATGAACAGATTTTTTTCTCAGTCTTGGCTCTTTTAGATTTTGGTTTTCGGTGTGGACTCTGGCCATTTGTGTCTATAAGAAGCGGAAGCGCCTCGGCTCCCCACTGGTTGCGGCTTTTATTTGTAAAGAGCACTTCCGGTGGGGAGGCTGCTGCTGCTGCCGCTGACTTGGTGCGGCTCTTCTGTCAGTGGCGCTCGGCAGAAGGCGCAGTCCGGCTGGGAGGATGACTTCCGCCCGCACACTGTTGCGCCTCTTTGGATCCCTGGAGATGTCAGCTCGGGCTTTGCCTCCGTCTTAGAGGAAAAGTGTTTTCTCCATTCCTGCGGCCGTGTCACAAACTGTCAGCTGGAAAAAGCCTCAGAAGTTTGCTCGTCTTTCACTGGGTGAGTCAGTTTTTTACGTTTTTGATGCTTTTTGTGCGTTCAAACTCCGGGACGGTGCGTTCTGCGGGGTTTTGAAAAGGGCGCAGAAGAGCTGCGGAGGCGCTCAGTGCGCGCGCGCGCGCTGCGGCTCAAAACGGAAGGATGCTGGACAGTTAAGTGGCATCTTCTGATCAGGGCTCAGCTCAAGTTCACCCACCTCTGTTTGATGAATGTTTGCAGCCTGCTTTTCGCCACTGTTGAGGCAGTTTTCCACCGAAAACCAGCGTGTAATTAGACTTAATGAGCGCGTGCGGAGGATCCCCTGCTGCGGGTGGGCGCGCACGGCTCATTTCTGACATGTAATGTGGCTCCCCAGCTGTCAAACGTCGGCTCCCAGAGCAGCACCTGTATGTGTTCATTGGTATTTTATCCCTTTGGGTGGGGCAAAGGTGTGAAAAGGTGAAGTTTCGTTTGCGGTTGGCTTCCCTAAATGTTCCAGGATTAGATCCCATCATGTTGAAATTGTTGGAAAAGGCGTTCAGTTCCTCATATTTGAGTTGTTCAAATACTCCTTGATGCTCGCTGTGCTGAATTATGTCACGATGTGGCTATTTCAGGACTCAGTTCAGCGGATTCAGGCGCGTAAAGGCAGCAGAGAAGCCAGTGGGTCCTTTTGCTCACGCGTTTTCTGCTTCTTTTATGGGTTCAAGCCAGTGGAGCCCAGAGTTTCTAATGCAGACCTGCTCTGTGTTTCCATCTTAAATGAATGGATTTGTGGATCTTTCAGTGGTATTTTCTTACCTGACTTAGTTTCCGTTCTGGCCTCTCTTTTGGCATCTTTCTGTTTTGGGTTATTGGACTTAATTATGGTATTTTGGGGTTTGTTCAATTCAGGGTTTTGTGTGGTCTGAATTTCTGAATCACCATCAGCTCTCCTGTTTCCGGTTCACGCCTCCATCGGTCACTAATCAGCATTTCCTTTTTCATGGTTCCAATGAGAGACCGAAGGGTCTGAATGAGACCCAGAGGTAACACTGGGGGCTGCATCAGAGCTTCGTATCCGACCCGAGCACAGACAGGTAGCCATGAACAGAGGTGGGTCCGGAGCCCTGGAAGGGAGATCCAGGACCAGAGGCACCACCACATTCTGGACCATCTGCATCCGTTTAATACCATGGACCAGGAGGCCGCCAGGAGGTCTGGTAGAAGACCTGCAGGGTGGTCCACTAGGTCTGTTAGGAGACCTGTTAGGGGGTCCGTCAGGTCTGTTAGGAGACCTGCTGGGAGGTCCATCAGGTCTGTTAGGAGACTTGTTGGAGGTCCATCAGGTCTTTTAGGAGGACTGTTGGGAGGTCCACCAGGAGGTCTGTTAGGAGAACTGTTGGGAGATCCATCAGGAGGCCTGTTCGGAGACCTGTTAGGTGGTCCATCAGGTCTGTTAGGAGACCTGTTGGAGGTCCACCGGGTCTGTTAGGAGACCTGCTGGGAGGTCCACCAGGTCTGTTAGGAGACCTGTTAGGAGGTCCATCAGGAGTTCTGTTAGGAGACCTGTTAGGGGGTCCATCAGGTCTGTTAGGAGCCATGTTGGGAGGTCCATCAGGAGGCCTGTTGGGATGTCCATCAGGAGGCATGTTCGGACCCTGTTAGGTGGTCCATCAGGTCTGTTAGAAGACCTGTTGGAGGTCCATCAGGAGGTCTGTTAGGAGACCTGCTGGGAGGTCCACCAGGTCTGTTAGGAGGTCCATCAGGAGGTCTGTTAGGAGACCTGTTAGGGGGTCTGTGAGGTCTGTTAGGAGACCTGTTGGAGGTCCATCAGGTATTTTAGGAGGACTGTTGGGAGGTCCACCAGGAGGTCTGTTAGGAGACTTGTTGGAGGTCCATCAGGTCTTTTAGGAGGACTGTTGGGAAGTCCACCAGGAGGTCTGTTAGGAGACCTGATAGGGGGTCCACCAGGTCTGTTAGGATACCTGTTGGGAAGTCCATCAGGTCTGTTAGGAGCAGTATGGGTGTCCAGGGAGCTGGGACAGAACCAGGAGCTAGTTGTTCTGGCTGATCTTTCTTGTGTTGAATAGTCCACAGCAGCATGACCAGGCATCAGAGAGAAAAAGTCAGAGGTCATCAATCTGGGCCCCCAGGTTCCTGTAACCTGAGAAGAAACAACTGATAAAGAGTGGATGTTAGACTGTTCAGTGTTTCTGCCCCCTGGTCTGTCACTTCCATTAGACCCTCGCCTCCATGTTTAAACTGATATTCAGGTCACTGAACAGTTTGTTCTTTGGTTTCGTTTCCTCCCTCATTCTAGGTTTGGTTAACCTGTGGTTTCAGTTCAGTAAGAAACTGAGTCAGCTTTACTTTCAGCTTCTGGGCAACATTTGGGCCCTAGTAGACTGTAAGTGTATTTCTTGGTCCAACTGGTGAAAATTAGCTAAACCTTTTTTTAAACTTGGAGCCTTAAAGCGCTGCGATGCTCTAAGGACACAGGAGGGCTTTTAGGAAGCTGCCCTGCTTCCCAAATAATCTCCATCTCACTGAAAAGAGGCAGCTTTGACCGGACTACAGAGGCTGAGAGCTGCCAGGTTTAGGAAAATATTTAGTGTCCTTCCCTCCATTTCTCACTGCAACAAAGCTCATTTATCATGATAGCAGGTAACAAGATATAATTATGTCCTCATCTAGAGACCACAGGGCTGGAATCCTGGCAGAAAATGGGAGGATGTGTCTGGTGGTGTTGAGTTATTCTGTTTTCAGGGCTGTTCGGTACGCTCTGACATCAGGACAGCTGTTAGCCCCCCCGCTGCTCAGGTTTGAGCTCCAGGGATAAAACAGCCAAAGAGCTCCCTGACCTCAGCTATTGGCTCCATCATTCAGACTTTAGGAGTGTTGTTGCTTCTCCTGGATCCGCTAGAAGCGTTTTACCCATACGGGTCTCCTGTTTCTTTGCTTTATGAAGTCACTCTTCACTCATCGGGGGGGTTGTTTGTAAAAATCCTGGCGTTTGTCAGTCAAAGCGCCGCGTTTATCTCGCCGTTTCCTCCGTAAACAGCCCCGTGACGGATGCGACATTGTTCTGGTTATCAGTA